CAATAGGAACTAGAGTTCCAAAGACACCAAGTTCTCCAGAGCTGACAGCCTAGTGCCAGCACCAAAGCTGAGTTAAATATTTGCAGCGCTACATGAATAAAACTGAAGTTATTCAAACAACATGAATCACACTGATGGAACAAAAGTAGGGATTAGAGAGTCTTACAGGAGATGAGGAAAGGAAGGAGCAGGGAAGGAATGGCATTTCAGGCCTTTTTAAAACTCTCAGAAGTGTGCAATTGCCATCTGCAAGGAAATGTAGGACTACAGTTTTAGCTGTAGCATAAAGCTTCAAAAGAGGAGACCTAAGTGATGTCTGTCTGATTTTCTCCATTCTAGAGTCAAAGGCCCTCTACAGAAAGATAACCAAGAACTGAGGGGAGAAAAAAAGAAAGAAGAATTAAATACTTTTAGTAATTTATTCTGCTTGTGAAAGCTGCATATCAGAAGAATCTTCTGACTTTAAGAATTTACTTTCTATTCCTTCAATTGAAACAATTCTGAGATTTTTAAGCTTTTAATATTTTCTTTCTAATCAGTGCTATCTCCAAAAGTAAAAAAGAAAACATGAATAAAAAAGTCTCCAAAAACCTGAAACTCTACCAATTGCATTTATTGTTTACCCAAATTATTGCTGTTGGGAGGGAAAGCAGAGAAAAGAAGTTTTCAGTTATCACTAAAGAACTTACTGAAGAAAACCTCTCTCTTCAAAGGACATTGGCATTTTCATTACAATGAGCTTTAGCACTTGTCCCACTGCCATAGATAACAGCACCAGAAAACCATGGCTGCCCAGCTGCACTCAGTGCTTCTGATTCCACTCCAACTATCTGGTGTGGTGTCAGATGTTCCATGAGTCTGACTCCACAGCTCACCAGAAAGGACCAAATCTCAGATTTCAGCAGAGCAGGTCAGGCAGCTCCCAGCTCATACATCTGCTGGCTGAAATAATACTAGCCCTCCATCACCTACCATGTGCTCCCATCACACTGCAACAGCCCTGCTCTCTGCCTCAGAAAGTTCCAATGCATGTCAGATCCCACACTGAGCAATCAGATTGTGGCAGCAGTGCATTTACACACATTTTTACTATCATCCAGTATGAATTAATAGCCATAAAATTTCCGTTGCAACAATTAACTACTGTCCCTCAAGCACTGCAATTTCAAGATATCCCAATCAACACATAATAACTTTCCATTTCCCATCTTCTATACACACAACTGCCAAGGCTTTCATTTCCTTCATGAAGGAATTATTGAGCTCTATGACTCATTCTGTGCATATATAAATATACATCTAATTACAACAAGATTTTAGCCTGAGTTGTCTCAGATAAACCTGTTTAACTGAGTTCAACAAACAATTCAAGATCTGCAAGAAGGTATTAAGTGGTTTTTATATGCTAGACTTTATGCTGCTACATTATCTACTTCAGTATAATAGCACAGGCCTATAAAACCTACAACACACAAATAAATTTGTTTGCCTCCCATCTAAAATGGATGTTTGCTCACGCAACCATTCCATGGTAGATATGCATGGGATAAAATCATACACAATTGCTATTGAGCCAAGGCTGTTCCCCTCCTTGGCTCAGGCTCCATGTCCCCTGAGCACACACAGTCTGCTCTCCTGGCAGCAGCGCTGATCTGGCCTCTGAATGCTCAGCAGCATCCCATGCTGACACCAGAGACTACTACCATGCAAGTTCCTCCAAGACTTATGATACTGCTGTGTGCCAGGAAATGGAAGTGAAGAGAGCTGTCAGATTAGGAAAGAGGCTGGAAAACACAGAGGCCTGAGGGAAAGGCCAAAATTGGTTTGGAGAGGCATGTGAGTACAGCAGGAAGCACTGCAGATTCCTGTAGCTGAAGAAACAAACAAGCAGCTTCAGATTAGAGCTGAATGCTGAGATAGACCCAGTTTCTGGTTTTAGAGAAAGCAAGCATAGCAAATCTATGTTCACGAGCTCAACATTAGTGAGGCAGTGTAATGCCTGCCAGCTCATCTGGGTGATACACCTATTAAAGCAAAACTTTGCTTTCCTTAAATGTTTCTTAACTTAGTGCTTGCTGGGATAGAGGTCCTTGGCAGCCTAAGCTGTTCTGTCAATCTAAGGACACTGAATTACTTCAGAAGAGGCATATGCCATAGCTTCTGGCTTGAGAACTTCAAAAAAATACTGGATTATCGAAACTGATAAGACTGTGGATTCCGAACAAGGCCAAAGTCCTAGCGCAGTCTATAATTAAACAGTTCCATTCTTATTTTGAAAAAAACAAACCAAAACAAACAGAAACTGCCTCTTGCTCAAGAGTTTTAAAAACAAAAGCCACTTGAGAGAAGAAAATTAAATCAACACAAAATGCTGCCAAAGGGGAAAATCCCAAGGCATACACAGGATCAACACCTTCCTCAAGCAAAAAACCTGCTCTGTATGATCTACTCCTCTGTTTAAGCCTCCTGTGTCTGTAAACATGGAAGAAAATAAAACTGTAACGCTTCAAACTCTGCCTTCCAATAACAAAGTGCTGCATATTTCTAATGTAGCCCCTTAACAGGCTTACAAAATCCTCAAGGCTCTTCTAACATCATTTGAGGCTACCCTGCCTGTTAATAGCACAAGTTGTCTAAACCCAGTCACGAAACATTTGGCACAAGCTCTCAACTTCTTCTGTTATGGAAGTATATACTTATATAAAATAAACACGATTTCCCATCATGCTGCCTGCAGACAAAGCTCTAAGTGATGCTGTATCCCTCTTACACGGCATATCATCAACTGCACTCCCAAAACAAAGGAGGGGATAATTAAATTCATTACAAAACAGGTCCAGCACAGGCAAGTGTGAGAGGATTCTTCCTGCAGTGAGTCAGACACCTATTGACCAATGGGCCTCTGAATCAACAGTTTCATCTCCAAAGAAGTGAAACCCTGGCAGAAGTTCTGAGCACTTGTAGCAGCAGGCTGGTATCAATTATGCTGAGCACTGGAAGCAAGGAGACCACCTTTGTGGACCACAAGCTGAAAAAAGCCACGAGACAGTGGCTAATTTGTTTATCCTCCTGGTCTATATTTGAACTGGTGATTCACCCTGTCTGTCTTACTAATAACTCCTCCAGCTCATCATTTCAGCCCCCTCCTCCAACCTCCAGAAGTCTTCAGAATTCAATTATTACTCTACACACACTTGAAGATAAAAAATGCTACTACAGTTGCTAGAAAAGACAATTAATTCCACTACTTGGAACATACACAGCTTTTAACTTTTAAAAATTGAAGAAGAGCATGTTACTGGTAATCACTAATTATACTTTTATAATATGTCACTAAAGCTATTTTGTTTCTCAAAATGTTGCAGCAAACTTCAATCTAAAACTCTTCCTTGTTGCTCTCAAGATGCTTCAGGAATCTCATCTGTTATTCTGAATTATAACTATAAAAAGTTATTCTTTGAAGTATTTCTTAGACTTATTTGCTTGCCATGAACTCAAAATAGCTAAACAAAGCAGCAGCTACAAAGTTAGCTCACTATGAGGAAGCATCTGTGCTGTTTTCATTTTCTCGGCTTTTTGGGTGGGGAGGGTTATTTAAATGGTAAGCAACTGCTGTGAAGGCAGGGAAAAAACCAACCAAAAAACCCACAATGAGCAAAATCTTCCAAGTTTTAGTACGATAAAGCATTATGAAGCTCCACATCTTCTACAATAACGTTTAGTGAGTGGAATGGCCCAAAACCTCCCTGTTTTAATTGACTACATATCCAAAAGAAATCAGCAATAATGTTAGCAAAGCCTGCCTGAAAAGCTTGATCAACCATCTTAGAAATGTTTCCTCTACTGAGCACTGGGAGGGGAAAAAAACAGAAAGAATAAATCAAATAAGCTATCCCGCTCATGGCAAAGTACTCACACACGCTGTATCTTGAAATATCTGGAGGTGTCCTTATCTTTGTTCCACTAGAAATACAGACACTGAACCAGAGTGCAACACTCCAACAGCAGCTAGAATGAGAACTGCAAAATTGTCACCCCAGAAGGTGAAGAAACTGACTGCCCACATATGTGCATCTTTGTCTCAATTTCATCTGTAAGTTACAGAAAGTGAAGGTGACCCATATCCTGCTAATTGGCATACAGCTCCCCAGTCTCCTCATTTTACAGCAGTTCTTGGGAAGCACACTATACCAGGAACCTGCTTAAATTAGCTAATTAATAACAGACTTGTCTTTGGGAGGGTGGGAAAGGGTTAATCTTTTAATTGAGCAGTTCCTACAAAACAGAAGTAAATAAGAAACATTAACTTTACAAACCATGAGTTGCCTTTCAGTCTGTACTCAAACTAACACAAGAAGCAAAGCATTTTATTGATTTTGACTCAAAACAGGCAACACTATTCCTAACAAGAGAATACTCTCTTCTTGTTTTTCCTGAGCAGTTTATAGGGGGATTAAACAAACAGCACAATAAAGCTGGGTGGGAACTCATATGAATGGAAACTTCAGCTTCATACTTGATATCTAGATCTCAGCCAGGGTACACGGGCAATGGAATAATTCCTTTTTACGGGACCCAGATTAAGCTGTAATATGAAAGTGGTAGGGACTGAATATAATAACATGACCCACTTGCAAAATGTACAACTGGAGTATAAATAAGACTTAAACATAATGCAACGTCACTGAAACAAATAATATCTCAGGGCTGCTCAATGGTAATGCACATGTCTCATTTAGAACATTATTGGTGAAGTTTTATGCTCTTACTGCGATTTTTTTTCACCTCAATAAGTGCTTCTGAGGAGAAAAGACATACAAGGACTGTGAGTAGAGTTCTGAGGACTGAATCTGCAGTCTTCTCTTAACACAGCAAATAGTGAGTGATTAATTCACCAGTCACTATAACAGACACTTCACTCAAGGTGAATGGCAATTGCAGAATCTGTCCTGAGAACTGAGTATTTCATATTCAGTATGTATATTATGAAATAGTCTTACCTCAGTAAGAGCGTGCAGCTGTCCTTTATGCACACAGACACCCATAAACCTACAAGAAACAAGAAAAGAAAAGTGGTTTGGGCTTTTTTCCCCCCCTCTTTTTTGTTCTTTAAAGAAATTAATATAGGATTCACCAAAAGAAGGAAGAAAGAAAAAATTCAGCCTCACAGACACTGCATACCTCACCATTGATTATTTAAACATCTCAGCACAAAACAAAATCATGTATCTACACTACAATTTGAATTAGCAGTTCCAGGAGAGCACAGAAGACAGCTCAACCTCAAAATGGAAAGTTACTAATTTGACTATAAGCAAAGGCCAGCATATAATGGTTTATGCAGAAAGGAACAGTCTCAGAGTCCTATTTTAAGCAAGTTTAAGCCAAGTAATCCACTGTTGGTTTGCATAAACAGAACATTACTTCCCTTTGCATTTTGCTGTTTAAGCATAAAGATATTTCTTCCTCTCCCATTCTTAACCATTCAGGAATATGAGGGCACATATGCAATGTATACTTCCCCTCCCCAAACTCCTCTTTCCAACACTTGCATAGAAGCAAATTTCAATAGTATCCAGCATACACACATTCCACAAGTGTTACCTACACTGCACAATTTTCAGACTCCTGCTGTTAATAGGAATGATTGCCACCATTGTTTTGTCTGGAAAGCAACAGAATGTGCCATAAACAACTGAAAGCTCATTTTTACCACCATACAAGCTGAACTTAAAAGTGACAAAATGCAAATTAATACTATTACAAAACATCCCCCATGAGAAAGTTCAGTAAAGCTGAAATTTTAAACACTTTAGAGCCTTCCCTGCACAGTTCAAGTGCTCATTCTTTATAGATTACCTAATTCTCAGTTTTAGCATTTCGGTTTTGGTCTCAGCAATCAAAACCAAATTTCCATAATGTTCAGAAATTTCCATTTTGCAAGTAAGAGGTAGACATGTATGATCTCATTAAATGTGATGGGAATCTTGTGGACAAGAACTCAAAGGAAAAGGACCTTTTATATCCTGAAACACTTCCGAATTTAAAAACATGATGCAAGACATGTAGTGCTAGTTCAACTAAGCTGCTTTTGAAGAAATGAATGATCCTCACTGTTCTGTTGTCTAACAGCTGACTGGTAAATTACAAGCACCCAAAGGAAAATAATATAGGTAAGGTCCTTTGCATAAGCTGAGCTGTGGAAATCTGTTTTTATAACCAAAGAAGCAGCAAGACTTGTATTAGAACTCCTACTGCCTGCTCTCACCTCAAACACTCAAACAATACTCCCTGAATATGTGAATTTTAATTTGAGGGACACTGAAAATACAATTCCTCTTGTTTAATGCAGAATCATAGGGCATGACCAGGTCCTCAGAAGGAAAGGAAGAAGCTTCTTTTAAATAGACCATCTACTCAAAACATTGCACATTCTGAGTTTCACTCCCTACAACAATGAACTTTGTGAACTGACGAATTAAGCTTCCTGAGATTAATAAACCCAGACTTTTACAGAGCAGACATCTATTTCTTAGTGCACTCAAAGTCTCCAGAGCTATCAGGCATGGTGTTAATGGCTTTATTCACAAGCAAAAATGGAAAGCACACAAATCCAATATATTAACTCCTCTACAAGACAACTTTTCAAAGTATTATTTTCTCTATCAATTACACAGTTAACCTGCTATGGCAATATTTCCATTCAACAAAAACTAAGATTAAGTAATTAAAAATAACAATGTTTTAATCTATAAATCAATTCTTCCTTTGTAAAGGTGTATCACACTATTTACAAATTAAGAATTCATCACATTTGATTTAATTCCAAAATACAAATGCATTTAAGAATTTGTCAAAATTTTGGAAAAATTTTATTTCTTGTCTCATCTTTACCAAACAGGAAAAACATCACTGTCACTTAGAGACTGGTAGAACTTAACGTTTTCTGCCAACCTGTTTTGGTCATGGGAAGTCTCAATGGGAACATATTCACTACTTTCGTGAACCCATGCTTAAGGTAGCAAAGACACATTGAAACGAATTATGAAGATTAAGAGAGTTCAAAAACTCTCAAATGCTTAGGATTTCTACTAAGAATCAAAAATCAAAAAACAAAGCTCCATATAATGATCTCATGGAAGAAAGCTGGACATAAAGATACATTTATAAACCCCACATATTTAGAAATGACTACCCAGGAAAAGAGAAATCAAATACGCTGATAAAGAGAATTAATGAGTTTACAAGCAACATACTGAAGCCATTTAAACTTTGTGTGAATGAATCTCAGTTTTCAGGCTCTGGAAAACAGATTGATAGAACAGACCTCTAGCAATCCAAATTCCTGGAAAACTTCTGCTTAGCTGTTTTATCGAGCAATAATAAGGCACTTGGTTAAGCCAAGAACTGCTACAAAACATTGTTGGAAAGGATTTTCACTAAAAGATAATACATCCAGCTGCTACCAGGAAATACAATTACCAAGCAAGATTTAATGTGGTTTCAATTTCTGAGTTTGCCCCAGATGAGATTCCAAGTTCTGTGGATAGGAAGCTGACATGCTGGTCCAGCACAGCTGAGATTATTCCTGTTGGCTAGACACACTGTCTCCTGAGCCAAAATGTGCTTGTAGGTGAGCTTCAGCAGAATGTCTTGTCAGCCAAAGGTTACACTTCCTATAAGCATTTCTAGCGAGAAGGAGCTCCAATAAGCCAATCATTCACAAAACAGGAGACCATTTGCAGATTAAGGAAGTTTATTTTCAAGACAGTGTATCTGGCCTTATCAGCAAGCTGGAAATACTTCCAAAATCTGGTTGGAAAAGTTTTCCTAGAAGCTGCAAATAGAAAGGATGATACTTGAATCCACCCAACTAAATACAGTGCAGCACATTTCCAAATGCTTTCTAATAAATGTCAGCAATCTATATCCATGTTGGAAAGCTTGTTTGATAAACAATCTGGAAAACCTGTCCTCCTAAACAAAACCAAGAGAAGTCTGGATATTTCTGGATATGACAGCAGTCACACAAACCACTTTCAGTTCGGTCAGATGGCAAGGGAGAAAATCCTTGACAGAAAAGGGGAGACTAAATACTGTAGCCTCAGTCTGCCATCTTTGCCTAAATTTATCAAGCAAAACTAATATCCAGATCATACAGTCTCTGTGGATATCCAGACACTGAACACATGCTTCTAGTTAAAAGAACTTCACTGGAACACATTCCTGTTCTGTGGACAAACCTGAGGCAGCCACAGTTCAACAAAAGAACTCGATGCCCTGCAAAATTTACTGCTTGTATGAGAAAATTCAGCACTTTGATAACATTAAACAAAAGAAACAAACCAGACACCAATGTAAAAGCCTCTAGTACAAGCTCAGTAACAGAGACAAAAGGTCAGAAGACACATGCTTATTTCAGTGCACTAACTGTTGGAGAAGGAAGAGGGCAAATAAAAATATTAAGCCTGCATTAAGGCCCTCCTTAGTGGTTTAGGCACCATGCTAGATTAAAAATGTATTTTAAGCTTTCTACACTTGCATCTTGATTCTAGATAGAGGTAAGGCACTTAATCTACCATTTCTGCAACATATTATACACAACACATACAGCCTCTCTTCTGCCACCCTGTACACTGCATTTCTAAAATACTCCTTTTTGATAACTACGTTCCACAAAAAAAAAGCAGAAGCAATTTTCTTTCCTGTTACAGCACCGTTCAGTACAGAACAAAGGGTGTTAAAAGACAAAATCCATCCCCTCTGGCTATTGTAACAAAGTCCATCACAAGCAATTTTACAAAAAAGAAGGTTTGAAAGGATAAAACTACAGACAAAAAAAAAATCCCTGGTATTGTGTTCCCAGGGTGATAGATTTGTCTCAAAAGGAATGAAAGAAAATTCTCCTTGAAAGGAGTTCATGGAATATGCACACAGTGTGCTTATTTGTGTGCCTGCACACACAAGAAGGTGGATTTAATCAATGAGTCAATCTGCCTGCATGCTCACAGCCAAACTCGCAGCAATACCTCCAAGTGCTCCCACGAGAACACTTAAGACATGAGCTAAGACTTTCTGTGTACAGAATGTTTTAAATTAAGTCCCCAAGGTACAGATCAAATAAAGAAATACTTTTTCATGCAAACAATAGTGATATTAAAGACGAAATTCTACCTCAAAATTGAAGATACACTAATTCAAGAGACAGCACAAGAGATGGAGAATCATTGGTAGCACACCACTTCATTTGTATGAGAAAAACACATCTGTAAGATATTACCAAAAAAAGCTATCAGGCCTCTCAGGCTGTAGCCTGAAGGCTCCCAAGCTCAGGACACAAAGATGGAGATTTCTTGAGTCCTTTCCAGGCCTATTTTCTTACTTTGATTTGGGTAAAAACTCATGACTACAGTAGCACACCAGAATTCAGAAAAGTAACAAAATGGTAAAACACATCTACAAGCATACACCAGACCTTTCATAACCATGGTACTTGATCTAACCCAACCCTTGGACAGCACTGCACTTTAAATAGGACACAAGCTAATAAGGAAGTGGAGAAATGCTCCAAACTGCCATTTTCCCAAACCCCAGCAATTACAGTCTTGCCATGTATCAGCTAACCTGTATTAAAGAGGCCATAGTAAACATCACATGGTACAAACCCCAACCTCAGCTCACTTTTCCACACCTCCTCTCACCATCTGTCTGAGGGAAGATGCGATAAAACCAGCATATCCCACATCAAAGGCAGGAAGAAATCAGAGGTAGAAAAGCATTTTAATTCTCCATGTTTAACTTGTATGCAGGAGTGAGATAGAGACAGGAGATGAGTTTGATGGTAGAAACAGAAGAAAACATTCCTTGAATACCATTCGTCTCCTTCTGCCCTGTCCAAAGTGTCCCCAACCTGGATCATGGGGAAAAACCAGCAAACAAAAAAGATAAGCAGCTCTCATATATAATTTGTTATAAACACCAGACAGTGACTGAACAAAAAGTTACTAAACTGTAGTCAACACCTACTCTGCCTCTAGAATCACATCTGCTAGCTGAAATAGGAAACAAGAGGAAGGGAGACAAAAAAACCTCCCAAATCCCCTATTTTTTACCATCATGTCTGTGTAGCTGCAAGAGCTAGAGTCCTCTATTCTAAAATATCCTTAACAGACTGAAAAAAGTTCAATTTTTTGCCAAAATAAATCCTCTAATAGAGGGCAGTCTCTCATTTTCTTCATGGAAAATACATTAGAAACTTATATATACACATATATTCGACCACTGGAATCTTTATGATCCTACCATGGGGACAGCAGACTTACTGGGGACTTGGTAAGTGAAAACTAAGCTCTTCACTTACATCTCTGTTCTAATCAAGATGGATCTACATAGCTGGCCAAGAGCAGAATTTGAGTGCAGCAATACTGAAATGAGTGTGAAGATTTAAAGTTAGCCCTTCACTGCAACTAAAGCCTGTTGCTTTTAAAGCCTAAATACCCAGATCAGGACTTCACCAAGTAAAACTGAAACACCTTGACCCAATTCTATCTCTTCAAGATGTACAGTAAGGTAAAAACACAGACGTGCTTTTCAGTAATCTCTACCGAGCTAAGGAATGGAAGAAAGTCAGCAACTACTGACACTCCAGAAGAGAGACCAGAGTCTGGATAAAAATCTCAAAAGATATCTGTAACTTTGAAAAGGAGCTGATATGGACAGCACACAAGCAAAAGCAGTTTCAAATAGTCAGCAACACTTAGTAGTCACATCAGTGCAATCAACAGCAAAAATATCAAAATCTTCACAATAACATCTTGAAGCAAACCGTGGGCACATTGGAATTGATACCTTATAAAAGCTGCTATATATTTTAGAGCATTGGCAAAGGGAAAGGTTTTTTAATTACCCAAAGGATAATGATGATCCTGGGCTACTAAATGCACTACAAGGAAGAACCTCTTCTCTTTTCCATAACACTTAACTATATAAATTACAGAAGAGCTCTCAGACAAAAAACACTGATTCAATAACGAATTTGAGGTACTACACATCAGGATGTTCAAAAACACAACCACACTTCCAGCTTAAGGAAAGTTTTATTGCACTAAAATAAATGCCTCATTGCTGAACCTGACATTCACTTTCTAAAACATTGACTTGCTATCCTACACACGTTGAAATGGATTGAGAGCAGATTTTGGAGGCAGTAAAGCCAGCATTTATCCAGTTTCATAATTTTACAAGCCATTTGATAGCAGAGCATCTCGCAGCCCTCACCTATTTCAATTAACCATGCACAATGTGATCCCAGTATTTCAGCCTAAGAACCCATTACCATGCATACTGGCTAGCAACAGGAAGGAAGAAAACTTGTTTATGGTGGAAGTTAAGGGTAGTCCCAGAACTCAGAGGAGGTGAAGAAGCTCAGAGATGTATTATGTAAAAATCAGAGGACACCTTCAAGGCCTGTAGAGGAGATTCAGTGGCTAATCAATAGAGAAGTGAACTTGATGCTCACTTGATGCACACTTTGCTCAGTAACATAGAAGAACTTCAAAGGAAAGAAATTAAATGAAGAAAGTATTTAGCAGCAACTGAGATAGGTCATAGCCCCTGGAAAAATTATATATTAGAACTTCTTTGAAGAGAACATTCCCCTTAAATACTAATAAAAGCTTAACATTTCCAAAAATAATCCCAGAAAATGTTTCAGTGGGAACACATTGCTATAGAACATTTTCATAAAAACCTCTCAGCAATACAACTCTAGCTGTTCTTATCTGACAGCACAATGTTGTCAAACAAGCAACACAACCTCTCACCACTAGCCACAAATTACTATTAATTATAATTTTTTATGTGTTTCTAAAGTTGGAAACAGATTGTTTCACAAGGCTAGTAGAAGCACCAACGATTTATACATTTATGAAACCTAAATAGAGAGGCTCGAATGTGTGGGTTTATATACAGGTATACACAGACATATAGGCAGGTAACATTTAAGAGGGGCAAAATCTTCTCCTAGACAAAGAAGTTGGAAACACTACAGTAAAATTTAAACAAGAACTCAAACAACACATCAGTAATACAAAAACCATCAAGTTATTTCCTACACAGAAAAGAAGTAGCTTTTACTGTGTATTAAATGTCAATAAACAACTAAAACTAAATATTGTTTTCTCATTTGCATTTCCTGTAGGAATAACTCTGCTCCCTACAGCAAGGGGACTTACCTAACAGGTAAGAAAAAGGCAGTATTTTTTAACCGAAAGCCTACTTTTTTTGAAGAAGCCTCAAATCAAGCAATTCATAAATCAAATGCAGTTTATTCTTCTAAACAAACTGTGAAAAGATAGACCATTTCTATTTAAGTAATTTATTTCTGATGTATTCACTAATAACTGCTTACTTAAGCACAAAAAGAAAAAGATTCCTCTGTCAATCCTGGGTAATAACTAAAAGAACAAATGAAATTCATTGTCTGCTTCATACATAAATCAATACATTATTGTTCTTCCTTCAGGACCATCTGTGTAACACTGCTGACTTCAAATTATTCATAGGCTCTAAGGCCAGAGGGGACCAAATATGATCTCCTTTACTTCACAAGACAACTAAACTTCAGTAATTACTCAGGACTGAGCACAATAATTTTTGTTCTCAACAACACCTCTGCAATTCCATTCAAGAGGAGGCAGGGTTACATTTAGGTACAACTGAATGCTTTTTAGCCTGTCAACATATCCTTTTCCTACTTTCCCTCATCCCAACCTAAATTAAATTCTTGATTTTGAAGAGATCTGCAGAGCTAGAATTTTTTTAAGTAAGATTTACCAACCACACAAAATTGATAAAGAAGCTAATGAAGTGTATTGAGTTGATGATTCTGACAATGCCAGTCTTTGGAAAGTTACTCTTTTCACAAACCTTACTAAAAAAGCAGCTTTATCAGTCCCCAGGGTCATGTGCTGCTTATTAAAGGAATCAGAAAAAAGGAAATGAAGGAAAAGATCTGTGGGATAAATAAGACACAAGTAATTATCCTGAAATCTAAACAACCAGATAGAAAATACAATTGACAAATTAAAAAGAAAAAAAAACAAAAAACAAACAAACAAAAAACCAGAAGGAGGAGTTGCTTGGAAAGCGCCTCACCCTGGAGCAGAGAAAACAGACTAGGAATTGTATTTAGGGATAGATTACTGCAACACTTGAATAAATGTATTAGGATAAAACTAACATAGTTTACTGTGAATAAGAATTATTTAAGTTCACAGGTTTTTGAGGTTTTAAGAAAAAGAATAATAGAAAACAGACCATGAATTAATGGAATGCTCCTTACAGATATTTCAAGTGCTTCTGACATGTGTCCTTATAAATACTGAAGGAAACACATATATAATATTGTTAAAAAGCAGTTGATGAAAACTGAGATAGGATTTCAAGGATCAGAAAAACTGCTTAGAAAGGATTTTAGGAATCAGTATTATGTTTGTACTATGTAACAAAAGGGCAAAGAAAAGGAAATTAGGTAACAGAGTTCACTGTGTCTCCAAAACTTTTCAAAAAGAGCTGAGGTCAGAAATGGATCCCAGGTGTGCAACAGCAGCTTAGGAGAACTGGTCATCTGGTGCACTGTTATCACATCTTTAAATTTCACAATGCTATGGCTTCAGCCAGTTGTGTTAATTGTTTGTCACATCACCACAGAAGAGAAACCAAGACTAAAATGGTTCAAAAAATAACAAGATACACATTAGAACATTTTGGATTTGCATGCAGTAATCTAATGCAAACCAAGTGCTACCCTTTTTGTGCCAGGAGCATATAAATTAGATTAATTCAACTCTAGCTTCTCTTCTTCAGTCCTCCTTATCCCACCTTGCAATACTGCAATAAGAAAATCCTAAAACCTAGGAAGCAGACCTAAGAATAAGAAACAGCTATGGCACTTTGCATTGTTTAGTTTTAAGACTAGTAACTGTAAGTTAGTTGAATAGTGTTAAATTTGAAACAACTTAAATTCACAAAAAGAAGCCAAATTTCACTCTTCATACTGATTCATCAGAAATTTAAAATGTGAGCACCTGCTTTTCTCTGACATAAATTACTCATTACTAGCAAATTCCAGATACCAAAATCATGTCCATGTTTGGGATTTTTTTCTCTTAAGTCTTTTCTTCTTCCTCCCATTTATCTATTAAATTAGGTATTAATCCTAACACATTTACAACAGATAAACCTACAATAAAGAATAACTAAACAAAAATTGGAAAGAGGAGAGCCCTACTAAAGACAACCTATCTCTATATGATTCAGAAAAAAAGCTAGTGTACCTTAAGATGTTCGGATGTGAGAGTCTATTCATAAGTTGAACCTCTTTCAGCATGTTTGCTCTGTTGCTGTTCAGTGTGTTCATCTTCAAAGCCATTACCTGGTCTGAAGTTCTGTGCCTTACCTATTGGATAGAAGCAAAAAATGGTAAGGATATGAAATTAAAGACTGAAGAAGCAGTATTTTTGTAGTGCAATGTAGAGGTCCTTCAAGACAAAAGTGATCCATAACCAATTTCTGCAGTCTTTATCACAGAGATGACTTTCTCTAAGCAAATGTGAAATGGCGTTTTGCTCTTCTCTTGCAACTCATGACTACAGAAAGCTTGAGAAGTTGGAAAAAACCCAACTATCAGCTTCTTAGTACAAGTGAAGGAAGCCATCTCTTTGTCCACAGAGAAAAAGTTTCCCACTCCAAGACCTAAGAAAGTTATCTTTATTCCACCCATATCCCTTTTCCCCCCCTGCAGTGGTTGCTGTCATTGTTCACAGAATGTGTTACACGAGGACCTACTGCTTACAGCTACGGGACAGATTTTTTAGGTACTCAGTGTTTACTTCTGAAAACAGATGATGATCCAGCTTCCACATCCAGGGGACTAAAAGCATTCCTGCCAACCCCTGCTGCAAAGCAGAGAGGTTCTTGCACAGGGGATCACCTCACCCAGGGTGTCACTAGTGGCTGTAGAGTGTCAGCAGGAAAAAAATTATTTCTCTGGCAACTGCACAGCACCAGCACCTCGTTCAGAGTGACTTTCCCCCGCCAGAAATGCAGGACTGTGGCCATTTTTAACTTGGTACTCAAACTAGCCCATCTGTCAAGTGTTATGTAGATATGTGCTACTATTAGAAAGGAGCTCTCACAATAGTGTAAGGCTTGCCAATCCTTTGAATTTCCTTGCAGTTGGGCATTCCCACACACATATTGGTAGTATTCATGGAAATTATGCTCCCATTTTCTTCTTATATCAGTACCTGCAGCTCATAAACAGAAAGTATGCATTTCTCAAAACACTGAATTATCCCCATGGCAAATTTATTCATGTTTATGAAGATTAGCTTAGGAAGGTCTGTGTTCCAGGAATTTAAAACTCATCAGCTTTCTAATTTAAAACTGAAATCAACATTATGACAGGTACATACAAACTACCTACATTTTAAACAACAGCAGCCCATCCACTTTCATTCCAGAAGACTGTTCATCTTTTCCAGTAAGAAGCTCCTTTAGCTGTGATATATTAATTACAGAAAGAATAACTAACCCATGATAAGCAGAAGAAAATAGGGTATGAGTTTTGAAAGTAAGGCTCCCTGGTAGCTCAGAGGCAGCAAGTGATACCTATTTTTCAAGTTTTATTTGCACACCACTATCTGCAAGAACGAGAGCCATATTTCAGCTAAACATTCTCATCTGGACACAAAGCCCATGAATTCAGCATAAAGATGTACAGGGACGAAAGGGTGTCATGTTTCTGGTGTGTGTCTGGTTTAACACTTCTAAGTTGCCTCTTCCCGTCCTAGTTTCAAGTATAAAGTAGCACTGGAAACATCACAGGTGAATGTGGTAAACAACATTGAAGCACTAGGTAGAAAAATAGACCTCAGATGGTTTTCCTCCTGCTTCACTCCCGCTCATGAGCTCCTCAAATGCCTCACCTACAGTCACCCAATAATCCCAGTGCAAGAAGGATCAGGGAAAGGGGGTGGAGGAGGATATAGAAACCAGCACTGAGTAGAAATCAACAGCAAGGTCACAAGCGTGGGACTCCTCCTTTCCGTGGTAATATTGGTTTTAAAATAAAACTGGTCAAACTACAGCTTTAGTGCATTCATTACAACAAGATAATCTAGAATCATTCTCAACACAACCCGTCTTACCTGTTTGCCATGCTTATTGGTTTTAAGTAGGATGATTGCATGTTAAGTTGATGAGGTTTATTGTTACTTGCCAGGTTTCTTGTGTCAGTTGTGTACTTTAATTTTTAATCTTACCCAGCCAATTTGAATGAAAAACTAAGTTGGACAGGTCAATGTCTACACAGACTTTTAAAACATATTTTAGTTATACTTTATTTTACTAGGAGTAATGCCTTGGGTGAGGGGAAAAATTTAAAATGTTTTCATAGATTTAGAAAGCTTCAACAATACAAATTTAAATAAAGAAAAAAGGACAATGATTTGAACCTATACACAGCTGCAGCTAAATCAACACACTTCCCCTGAGACGAGGGTTAGGAATCTTGGGTGACAAAGTAATTTGGGATTTTCAGGGAACAGGAATGGATTTGAAGTAACTTAATTCCTACAGTCAGAGATGCTCTCAACAGAGCTTCCTCAGAAATGAGCTTTCCACCAACACAGAAGCTTCAAGGTCTGCCAAAAGGGAATGAATACAGGTAGAAGTTGATCAGGAACTCAGATGGAATGTGGTCTTAAACAGTATTTGCCTTCTCATGAACTCTGCCAGCTACCTCTTAATTTCTTGGCCATTTCTATAATTCACTTAGTTTCATGCCAAAATTTCCTGCTCTTTTGCCTCAACTCTGAGGTTAAAATAGAATTTATCATAGGACCTTTTTCCGTGTTCAGACTGCTTTTCTTAAGCTAAGGAAACCTCAGAAAAGGTGATGGGTAACTTTTTGGGTCATGGTGTCCTGCATGCTTCCTGGATATTCAGGTCTGATACACAACAAGAACTGGTCAACAACTGCTTCTCAAAGGCCTGACTGTCCACAGCACTAACTGCACATCCGGAGAAAACTGAGCTGCTTTTGCAAAGACAAAACTTTTCATGCTCTGTTTTAAGCAATCCTGCAGTCTTTCCAGTCTTGACAGACTGAACAAGGTTCAGTGGCAAGGTCAGTTGGCTTTTCTTCTGTTTGTTTCATAAAATCACTTTCCCATGGTTGGAAATTTCTCGAGTTCCTTACACATAGAGCAGCATATTCTGTCTAAATACCTGGTCTCTAAATAATACCCAGCATTGCACTATGCTTTGTTTCACTTTAAGGGACACAGTAAGGTAACACCAGCAATTTTATTTGAAGTTCTGTGTATTGTTTTGATGTTGGAGGATGTATCTGACAAGATCTGACAGAACAGCAAAATTCATAATCAAACCAAAGAGGAGAGGGGGAAAAAAAGGGACTCATCCTGTCTCGCTAGTTATCCTTTAAGCAAGGAGGGAGAAGCAGAACTGGAGATGAGAGGGCATCTTTCTCAATAGGACAATACTCAATATTATGAATAAAAGCAAGTATCAATTTATAAATTATGGAGCACAATGCTAATCACTTGGAATATACCTAAGACCATGTAATATACCTCATACCACGTTCTCTCCTGTGAAGCACAACTGGCAAATAGCATTTCTATGGCAAGAACAAATTGACAACAAGGAACTGACAGGTTCTGTCTTTAAGGTCTCAGTCAAACTCTGAATCAGCAACAAGGAAGGAGCTGTCAGCTCTGCCCTCTGTGCCTACTTACCCATCAGCCACACTCTTAGACAAAATTTGTGTCTATCCGGGCATGCCTCACCAAAGCAGTGCAAAACTATTTCATTTTAATCCTCTCTCCTTTCAGGCCACCTCTATGCCATAAAAAACGTGGAAATTATGTTTCAACCACCTGACTCCAGAAGGAAAACGAGTAAATATTTTGGCAATACTGCTGATCCAGTTTAACATTTGTTGACAAGGCAGTTTGCCTCAGGCATACGCCTGTACACTCAACATAAACAGGGATTCACTCATGCAATTCAAACCTCTCACTGATGCAACTTGCAGATTGCTGTGAAGCTTTTAAAGCTGTTGACATTATTATTAATTAGAGCCCCTTGCATATCAGACCAAATAACCTTTCAGCAATGTCTGGATCATGGCGTCTCTGCTTAGAAACATTCTGACAATCCTACAGCTGCTTTGCACACGCTTCTAGCTTCTCAGTCTGCTTACCTATGTGTGTGACTCCATCTCCAAGGTCACAGTAACCAGATACTGCCTCCCTGTTTTATTGCTGACAGGCAGTTCAACTGTCCCTTTGCACTCTGATTCTCCTAGGACCAAAGTACTTTGGACTTTGACCTGGCTATTGTTACCTGCATGGTTCTGCTCACATTGGACCATGTTCTGATCCTTACCCCTTTCTTCAGAAGTAAGTGGCAAGTAGAGGAAATCATGGATACAGTAAAGAAAACGTGATGCATTTAAAGGAAATCTCATAGCAGTCATTAAGTAGGGCTCACATTCCAGAGAAGTGGTCACTATATAAAGTTCATGAGGAATATCATGCAAAAATTGGTGGGTTTAATGTTCAGCTCACTGCTTAGCTGTAAAGTTCTTTATTATTAAAAAAAAAAAATCATACAATTTAGATTATTCTTTATCTATTGCGTCATATAGGTATGACATGGTTCTCTGAAAATCCAAACATTTATATTACTTCCACTGTCTGCTGGACTGAAGGGGAAATATTTTTAAGCAATAGCTGAAATCTAACCTGATTTCATCTTTCACAAGGCCTTTTTGATCTGTATTCATTGTACCTTTCCAGGTGGCCCTGGAATAAACATCTGAAGAACATTTCCTAATACTGATATTGTAAATCTGCCAACACAGCTTTCAGCTGTGCTCCTAGTTTTTCATTGCATTTTCATTATTTTCCAAATCATCATTATATAGCTGGAAGTATTTTATCACAGTTCTCTTCCAAAACTTCATTTAGCTGCTTTTCAGTTTTTCCCTACCTTCCCCTCTTCTGGCATCCAGCCTTACTGCTTAAATACATTTACAGATCTTTACTTATACAGCCTACTCCATAAAATCATGTTGCTGCTCTAGCACATAGACCAACTTTTTGTTTTCTTTTACACACCTCGGTCTTCATCTGGCCATTTCACCTTTGCTGCCATGTATCCAAAGCACCATTTTAAAAGCTGTCTCCTCTGGTCCAAATATTTGACCTTCCCCGAGTTTGCTTTTCTGTCTTCATTTGATTTACAAGTATTTTCTCTTTGATGACAAGAGATGAAGACATTCCTTTAGCTACCATTCTAGGCCATTTGCACCAAATGTGTTACACAGTTTAATTTTGATTGACTGAGTTAATAGTAAAGTTTGTGAGG